TGCCTTTTTAACTGAGTGGTCTGCACAGGGCGGGGAGCGGGGGACAGAGGGAAGCCGATTCTTTCCTAGTGTCTGTTTTGATTACAGTATAAACGTTTGGCAAACTTTGGTTATGAGTCTTCATGCTCTTTCATTGGGTACTGAATTTTCTGGTCTGTGGGAAAGGATAGCAAACAATTGTTGCCTAACACCTTACAATATGATCAGACACATACTGGATGCAATAAGAGATTGCATCCAAATAATCCTCTATAAAAAACTTCTGTTTATCATTTAAGAGCAAACTAATATACTTAATTTATGATGACACAGAAGGAATATAAAACTTTGGGCGTAGGAAAACATGAACAGTACAAAAGCAAAAGAGACTTCCACAATGAGTCACTGACCTGAAACTATCATTGGGTGATATTTCTTGGTTTTGAGAGTACTCTGGTGGCAAATATCTGATAGATGCTTTGTTCTCTCCATTCCACCTTAGGCTCACCTTGGCCCCGGTCAGGCAGCACGTCTTTACGGAAGTTGCTCTATGCCCGGATGTTTGGCATGGGAGACAGGCAGAAAACAAACAATACAGAGCCTCTGATTTCAGTGAGGGTAATAGACAGTGATCACTCAACTCATATATCCCTTCAGGTCCTGACACTTTTCACCCACGAAAAGTGCTATGAAAATGGTAAAATAGGGAAATGGGAGGGGGCGGTTGAGGGAAACTCTCAAAGCTCTGATGAGGTGACATGAGAATACAGAGCTGCGGGATGAGAAAGGGGGGGCATCCATGTGACCGGGGAAGCCACCCCAGACAGCAGGGGAATGAGGAGAGAAGGCGCTTGGGGGCCGCAGTGTGAGAAGCAAGAACCTTCTAGCAGCTGAGGTAGAAGTCGACAGGGACGAGCCCCTTTGGAGTGGTGCTGGGTCAGGGACGGACTGGGGGACAGAGGCTGGACCATGGGGAAGGTGTTGCTGTAGACGAGGCTAGAGATGAGAGTGGCTCAGATCAGGGTTCGAGCAGTAGAGATTGTGGTGCAATCCATTCATTCTACATGTGAATTAACGGTGTGCGCACCAGGCACCAAGTACTGCTTCAGGCCCTGGGGGCATCATTGTGGGGGAGATTGACAATAATTCTCCCTCCTCCTGGAGCCAACACTGCAGAGGGAGAGACCCCGGGCTCAGAAGAGGTCCAGAGGAGGGCAGACATGCACTGGGAGGGAAGTGAACGGGCCGGTCGAGGAACAGTGACCTGAAGAAGTGGGGCGTCAGCTCCCCCAGGGGAGCTTCCCACAGGCTTGGAAGCTGGTGGCAAGAGGACTCTTTTTTCAGCTTTTCTGAGGTATTATTAACACTAATGTATATAAGTTTAAGGTGTACAATGTGATGATTAGATACACGTGTGCTTTGCAAAATGATTACCATGATAAAGTTCGTTAACACCTCCATCCGCTTACATCAGTATAATTTGTGTGTGTGTGGAGATAACATTTAAGATCTACTACTCTAACAACTTCCAAGAATACCGTATTGTCAATTCTAGTCACCACGCTGTGCCTTAGATCCCTAGATCTTATTTATCTTCGAGCTAAGAGTTTGTACCCTTTGACCAACACCTCCCCATTTCCCCCACCTTCCAGCCCCCGACAACTACCATTCTAACTCATCTTTCTATGCATTTGGCTTTTTTCGATTCTACGTGTAAGTGAGAACATAAAGCGTGTGTCTCTCTGTCTGACTCTGCGGTTAGCACAAGGCCCAAGAGGACTGGGTATGTGCAGTGTAAGGGGAGACGAGCATCAGGAATGACCCTTAGATTTTTGACACGCGCAATTCGGAGAATGGGAGGGCCACCGACCAAGCTGTGAGAGTGCAGGAGGCGGATTTTGTGGGGGGAAGAGAGTGAATTATAGACACCTAAATGGAGATGTTGAGTAGGCAGACGGATGTGCAACTCTAGAGCTGCCAATGACATGCGTTTGACAATCATCCAGGGTATGGGTGGCACTTGTCCACGTGAGCGGACTGAGATGGGGAGGCTGAGGCCAGAGGTCAGCACTTAGAGGTCAGGTAGGAGAAGAGGGGCAAGTGGGTGTGTGGAATCAGACCTCGAGAAGGAGGCAATGTCAAGTGGCTGAAAGGGTCAAGTCACATGAGGACAGGGACTGGTCATTGGCTTGGATAATGTTATCAGGGGCTTTGCAAAGAGTGGTCCGGTATCATGATTGGGGCAGAAGCTTCGTTGGAGTGGTTTGGAGGTAACCAGTTGGTGAGGATGCTAAGAGCTGGGACTATCCAGAAACCATGTGTCAAGTTTTACTGTGAAGGATGGCTTGACTTCTCCAAATCTGCTTCCTCACCTTCAAAGTGGCGATGATATTACGTAGTGTGAGGTACTATCGAAAGCATCACATGAGGTGAAACAAAATGAAAACAAAGCTCCCTTTACAGCCTTTGTCCGGCATGGAACGTTCTCAGAGCTTCTTAGAGTGCTGGTTTCTCCCATTCTCTTCTCTGTTGTAGAGGCTTAATTTTCGTATCAGTAAAAGAAGGGAATTGGACCAAATGAGGTTTCAGGTTCTAGGTTCTCAAGCCTTGCCCGCTCCTCAGCTCTTGGGTCCCCCGGACCCCATCCCCTGCCTGCCATTCCCTGTCCATTTCTTGTCGATGGCTCTAAGCCCTGCTGGACCTCTCTCCCCTTTTCCCTCACCTGCTCCACTTTGATTCTGTCTTGTATTGTCTTATATACCAGAATATTCCTCCAAAAAAGGCCTCCCTTGGACTTCTCTCGCACTCAAGAGTCTGGAGAGGGGGCTCGTTCCTGAGATGAAAGTTTCCATCCCCACTTGTGACCTTGTATGACTTGGACTCTACCAAACTCATTTCCTCTGCTCTTCTCTACATCCCTGGCCATCAGTGTTGCTGTCCCTCGAGTATATCTTGTTCTCCCTTTTCTCTGGCCTCTGGAATGTTAATACCCAGTTTTGTGTTTTTTAATGATTTTTATTTATTTATTTGAGAGAGAGTGTAAGAGAGAGCACGAGAGGGGGGAGGGTTGGAAGGAGAAGCAGACTTCCTGCTGAGCAGGGAGCCCAATGCGGGGCATGATCCCAGGACCCAGGGATCATGACCTGAGCTGAAGGCAGATGCGTAACCAACTGAGCCACCCAGGGGTCCCTTGATACCCAAGTTTTAAATCCCACCCATCTTACAGGAGCCAGGGCACGCGTAGAGCTTTCCTGGGTGCTGCAATAGAAAGGACCTTCTCTCTGCAGGAAGCTCCAAGGCTACCCCCTGTCTGTCCTGCTTAGTTCCATTCACATCTAGAGTGGATTTTCAGTGTGCACACCACTGACCACCTTCTGCTTCATACGGCAATTGTTTGTCATGGGTCTTAGCTCCTGGCCTTCACCACGAGCCTCTTCAGAGGGCAGACATGGCGTCTTTGCATCTCTTACAGCATCATACGTGTTGCGTGCTCCAGAAATTAATGAATTACATCAGTCAGAAAACTTGACTCTCTCTGAGAAGTTTTAATGGAAGGCTTGAGATTATTAAATCGTAATAAAGGATATTAACCAAGGTTTGCGTCTGTGTACGTGTCTAGTATTTTACAAAATAAAATTTCCAGTATTGAGCCTGTTGTATCAAAAGCTCTTCAAATCTGCAGATGCCTTGGTCCAGCAATTCTACTTCTAGAGATTTATCCCAAGAAAATAAAATAGTCTTGGATATTTGCCGAGAATGTTCACTGGAGTGGTGTTTATGATGTGAAAAACTAAATATCCAACGATAGGGGATTGGTTTAAAACAATAAAAGAACTAGGGGCACCTGGGTGGTTCAGTTGGTGAGCGTCTGACTCTTGGTTTTGGCTCAGGTCATGATCTCTGGGTCATGGAATCAAGGCCTGCGTTGGACTCTGCACTAAGTGCGGAGTCAGCTGGAGATGATCTCCCTCCCCTTCTCCCTCTGCTCCTCCTCCTGCTCATGCTCTCTCTCTCTTTCTCTCTCTCTCTTTCTCTCAAATAAAAAAAATTAAAAGAAATAAGAGAACTCATGGTGCATATTTGTACCCTAGAATTACGATCTCCTTAAAGTGATAACATAGAAGGACATTTATTGACTTGGTAAAATATTTATATTAAGTGCAGGAAGATATTCTTGTCTGACTTCCTTTACCTTAATTGAATTATTTCTAGAGAAAGGATCAGTGGTATAGACACTGTTAATAGTGATTATCTTTGGATGCTGACATATTGATGATTTTTACTGTCTTTTTTTGCTATCTTTTACCAAACCTTTCTATAGGAAGCTTGTTTTCTTAATAAAATATTTTATTGAAGTTGAGATGGCATACCTCTTTTATTCTTAGAAATCATGCATTCTTGTCTTTCTGTTAAATTAGGCTTTGTATCTATATTCATACAGTTTTGGGGAAGAACACAAGGCCACCTGGGCCGTGTCAGATGGTAGCAAGAGATGTGAGAACTTGCTTCTTTGGGTCCCTACTTTGTAAGTCACGGTGACTGTTCTCCAGTGTAGACGTTATTGCTTGGTGTCCTTGAGGCTGAATGCAGTACTAAGTTGTTGTTTCTTGGCTGCTGAGCTGTTTGTGCAGACTTGGGCACCGGGGCTGTGCAGGAGGCATGGGGAGTTTGCAGCCTGGCAGCTAGGGAGCCTTGACTGTGTAACCTTGACTCTTGTCTGTGCTCCTGTGTGACCCTGGGCTCTAAGCTGTGGTTTACACGTAAGTAGGATGGGGATGACATCTCCCATGGTCACTGAGTGTGTTGCACGATGTCTGGCCCAGTGTAGACACTTCGTGAATGGCGGCTGACAGCCTATATACCTAACGTTAGTCTGCAGCGAAGAACGGCGTCTTCTTTCCTTCATCATAATACTATAGGTGACCTGAAAACCGGCCATATGGTGGGTTGGGAGATAGTTCTCAAAACGATTTCCTTGTAACTCAGACATGTCCTGCCCTTGCCCTCTTGTCTCCCCTCAGTCTGCGGGCCGGGCATCGACATCCGCAACGACTATCAGCAGCTGAAGCGTCTGGAGAACTGCACGGTGATCGAGGGCTACCTCCATATCCTGCTCATCTCCAAGGCAGAGGACTACCGCAGCTACCGCTTCCCCAAGCTCACGGTCATCACCGAGTACCTGCTGCTGTTCCGCGTGGCCGGCCTGGAGAGCCTCGGGGACCTCTTCCCGAACCTCACAGTCATCCGCGGCTGGAAGCTCTTCTACAACTACGCCCTGGTCATCTTTGAGATGACCAATCTCAAGGATATTGGGCTTTACAATCTGAGGAACATTACTCGGGGGGCCATCAGGATTGAGAAGAATGCCGACCTCTGTTACCTCTCCACGGTGGACTGGTCCCTGATCCTGGATGCCGTGTCCAATAACTACATCGTGGGCAACAAACCCCCAAAGGAATGCGGGGACCTGTGTCCGGGGACAATGGAGGAGAAGCCCTTGTGTGAGAAGACAACCATCAACAACGAGTACAACTATCGTTGCTGGACTACAAACCGTTGCCAGAAAAGTAAGGATGACGCTGTTGGGGCTTCCTTCTGCTGCTCTTTCCCCTCCTGCTCTCCCTCGCCCCCCCCCTCCTCTTCTGAATGCGCGGCTTCTGCTGGGGGTGCTGCTGGGAGGGTGCGGTTGTGTTGCACTGAGGACAAGGCCACCCGTGGGGTGCAGGCGGGGGTCTTGGTTGCCTTCCTTTTGCATCTGGGGAACTCAGGGAATGCAGGACTGAGGCGTGGCTGCCATCAAGAGCATCCACATCGTGTCCTAGAAATAATCCACCACCCCTCTGGGCCAGGAGCTTGCTGCCCTTGAGCTTTGGATTCTGACGAGAAAGGTGACCTGGTGTGCTTTGGAGGTGCCTCAGCCCCAGCATTCAGGGGCTGCTTATGTATCGACTCGTTCATCCTTTGCGGGAAAAGATGTTTTTTTTTTGGTATGGTGGGACTTCCTTAGTATGAATCTACTTGGAATATGGTTGAATTAAGGGAAAGTCAAAAATCGATTCACATCCTGTGAAAGTGGGGACTTTGCACCCCATCCTTGGTCCCCAGGGATGGTCATGATCCTTAGGTGTGCCGGTTTATGATGGAGCACCTCGCCAAGGTGGGAGACACCTGGACCAGTTTCCAGGAAATCCCCAAATCAGGTTGTACTTGCAAGTAGCTGTGTAGTGGGTGCACTTTTACACCTGGGCTTCCATTTCCTTTTTTTCTACCTTTTTCCTCCAAAGAGTTGTTCAGATCTCCTGAAATCGCCTAGTGAAAGAATTTTGAAATGTGTTCACGGCTCTCCAGGGTCCGGGGTGATATTTTGAAGCTGCTTATTTATCAGCAACAGGCTTATTTTTCTCTTGAGTATAACCAAACTCTTGAATTATTGTGATCAATTACCTGGAGACCAGGTTGTTTGGTATTAAAAGGCAAGTCTGGGCCTTTGCCGTGTTGCTTTCAGCAACATTTAGGTATGTTGGCCAGGAAGGTTCTTCTCCCTGGTTTAGAAGTCAGTGTGGTAGCTATAAATAGCTATTATTTAATGGTTGGCCCAGTTAAAGACCCAAGGAGCTCATGTATTCTAGCTAGTCATGAAGAGCCAAGGAATCCCAAATTGGTAGGCTTGCCTAAACCATGAAGTGTATGAAATAAACAAATCAAAGGCCAGACCCCACAGGTAGCTGTTCTTTCTGTCCAGCCAGGGTGAAAGCCAGAAAAGGATGGTTTCTTTGGCCCAGCACACACTTTTATGCTATCATTCCACAGGTGTGTCCGTAAACATTTGATTAATAAGGGAAGGGGTCTCGTTGGCTGTAACCAGGATGTTGGATGGCCAAGAACGCCCTCAGGCCTCTCGAAGAGTCCCTGTCGGCTCGGGTTGGAGGAAGGTGCTGTACTAAAGTCCCATTTGTGATTGATTAAAACTGTACCCTATCATTAGGTTACCCACTGGTTTTGCGAAAACAACAAAAATACCTTTTTTAAGTAGTCTTGACATTTTAAAATTTTATTTTAAAAGAAAACGGCGTCATTGGGGAGGCATCGTGTATAGTGGGAAGGAAGACGTTGGATGCGGTATTAAGTGGCCTGGGTGACCTTGGACCAGCCAGTCTTTCTGGGCCAGAGTTGGGCATCTTTAGAATGTTCCGTAGGGCAGTCCCGTATCATTCCTTAGTGGCAACCAAACGTGTGCACAAAACGGCTTTGGAAACTCATAAGCTCTATACAAAAGCGAGGTGTTATTTAAAATGTCATTAGGTGGCCACTTGTTCAGTGATTCAGATGATATTTACTTTGGCCTTGCTGTGGCTTTTTGGCTGTTGCTGACCAGCTGGTTGTTGAAGAAGCCGGGAGTAGGGGAGAGGCCTGGGTTCTGGGTCCAGGTCTGGTAGCTGCGACCAGGAATGAGCAAGTAATATACATTGCCTGGCCCTCCGTTTCTTCATCTGGGAGAGATCCTGCCTTTCTCAGAGGGCTCTTGGAGTATTAAAAAAAAAAAAAAAGAAAAAAAAGAAAAAGAAAAACACCAGAAGAAACAATGGGGTTAGAAACTGGGCCTTGGTGCTGGTACGGCTGATGCGGACAGGCCTGTTGGCCGGACACCTGCTTCCCCAAGGCCACACCCTGCACCCTTCTCCCCTGCCAGTTGTCTCAGCCCTGCTGACGTTTTTCTGAGATTTTACAAGAGAGTATTTATTGAAAATTATGAACAGCATTCAAGGAAACTGTCTTCCCTTCATCTCAGCAGAGTTTCAGGAAAACTCCAGCATGGGCAGGTTTCTTAGAGATTTTCCCATTGAATTGGAACTCTCCCTTTACATCGAGTCCCTTTAGACCCAAGCTGGGTGGTGTGGCAGCCACTAGCCAGCCACATGTGGCTTATTGCGTGCTTGAACTGTGGTCTGGTGCAAATTGAGATTCGCTTTAAGTGTAAAATACACTGGATTTCAAAGAAGTAGTAGGAGGGGAGAAGAAGTAAGGTATCTCCTTAATAGTTCGTGTATTGACTCTGTTGAAATGATAATTATTTGGGCCTACTAGGTTAAGTAAACTATGTTATTAAATTAATTTCACCTGTTTTTTTTTAAAGATTTTATTTATTTGACAGAGAGAGCACAAGCAGGCAGAGCGGCAGGGAGAGGGAGACACAGGCTCCCCACTGAGCAAGGAGCCCGATGTAGGACTCGATCCCAGGACCCTGGGATCATGACCTGAGCGGAAGGCAGCCGCTTAACCGACTGAGCCACCCAGGCGTCCCTCACCTGTTTCTTTTTACTTTTTCATGCGGCTACTAGAGCATTTAAATTACAGGTGGGGCTCCCATTCTCTTTAGAGTACTCCCCCTATGGCCACGCGTTCTCCTCCCCATTACGTCTCTCGCTGAGCACTGCAGTACTGTGATATTCCTACCCCTCTCCAGCAGGATGCTGACAAACTGTTCAAGGAGCCAGGTGAAGGGCATTGAGTCTGGACAGAATGTCCACCTGGAAGTCAACGTGAGCATTAAGGTGGCCATTTAAAATGATGAAGTGTGGAAGAATCCCATTCAGTTGTTCTTCACAGGGCTGCCTACGGAAGGAGGGAGAGCATCTGGAGAGCTACGTCAAATCAAGGATGTGTGTGAAATTTTTGACATAACGGAGAAACACTCAATTATGGAGTGCCGCTATGCAGTTTTTACTTGATGCTCTCCCTTAAACTCCTTCTTTTCTATCATGACTGTGTGGTGGCAGGCAGCTTCATAGACAGCCCCATTAAGGAAATGATGACTTTATGGGTTCCCTGCACACTTCTGTAATTCTCTGTTGTCTTATGACTTGGAGGGATGGTTTTGTTTATTTATTTGAATTAGAGAGCATGAGCAGGGCGGAGGGGCAGAGGGAGAGGAGAAGCAGATTCCCTCCTGAGCAAGGAACCCAATGTGGGGCTTGTTCCCAGGACCCCGGAATCATGACCTGAGCCGAAGGCAGACGCTTCGCTGACTGAGCCACCCAGGCGCCCCTGGAGGGGTGGTTTTATTGAGGCTTGAATTAACTCCTAAAAAGTGACTGACCCTTAAAAAAGTTGTGTACAGAATTTTCCTTGCAGTAAAAATGTAACCGGTGTCCCTGACATTCAGCGCTGGTGAGCCCTCCTCCCCTGCCCATGGCTGGCACTTCTCTCCCTGTCCCTACCGCTGTTTCTTTGCTGGCTTCTTTTCCTTGGTTGAGTCTTTGATACCTGGCGGTCTCCAGACTCCCATCCTAGGCCCCCTTTCACTGTTCTTGTTTCCCCAGGATGTCCTATCTGGTGCTTCCGCATCCTTCTGTCTGCACCTGGTCTGCAAATATCATCTCCAGCCTAGACCTCTTCGTGAGCCCCAGACCCACAAATCCTTTCCCGTGCACACAAGCGTGTGCGTCTCAGTGCCCGCCGGGCTTCTCTGTCTCCTCACTTGTACCTGTTGTTTTTCTTGTGTTCCCCCCGACCCTGCCCCTGCAGGGGCAGCATTCCTGTGCTTCCCGCTCCCATGTCAGAGACTTGGGGGGTCCTCTGGATGCTTCCTCCTCCAATTGAACGACAAGCCCTTTCCATCCCAAATGTTTCTCAAATCTGCTATCCCCTGCTGTCCTTTCAGTAACACGGCCTCTCTCCAGCCTCCCCACACCTGTGCCTGGGCCAGTGAGCTCCCTAACTTACACTCTGACCAATAGCCGCCCCCCACCAAATCCTGTAGTAGGAGCCCGTGAGCTGTCATGAAACTGGGCCATGCCCCCGACAAGCTACCTCCCTGCCTTCTGCCTGCAGTACCCTTGGCCCGTGATGGTGCTTCTGTGCTGCGCAGCTGACCGCCCCCACTGGCAGACTCTGTGCCCGTTGGCGGAGGACTTTGGGACTCCGCAGACTCTGCAAACGGTGGGCCGTTTCTCGCCGCAGAGAAACCTGGCAGCGGCCCTTTCTGCACGGCCGAGTAAATTCTGGGCGTGCCCTTCGAGTCTTGGAGAGCATGGCTATCACCCCAGGGGCAAGTGCGGCACCTGCTTTATGAAAGATTTATGGTCAGGAAGATCTCTTTTCCCCCGTGAGCAGAGATCAGTGTGTAATGACAGCCCTCGGCAAGCCAAAAGATTCAAGGCTTGTGAAATGCGGATGTTTCTTGTGTAATCTTCCCAGTCGGTCCTTGCTACCCAGGAGCGCTGTCACCAAAACTGTCTCCAGCTCTTCACTGGCAGGGAGGTTCAGCCATGGCCGGTAGTGGTTCCTTTCTCGCCTGCCCTTGTCAGAATGATTCAAGGCCAAAGATGGTGGAGAAATACGGGGATCATTTTAAAAGTTGAGCCCTGGCCGGTAGCACTGTTCGTTACTTTTTTCAGCAGTTACGTGCTGAAGGCCGACCTGTACAGGGAGGGAACGGGGGTGGATCCTCTGGCAGGACTTGTGGTTCTCTTCCTGCCCAGTGAATTGCCTAAGTGGTGTCTGGGGTTCGCTTGCCATTGGGGCTTTCTGGTACTTGGTTGCAGATCTAGAGATCTCCCCCTTCAAC